CAGTATTTACCAGAGCACCTAAATATACATTGAAGAGCCTTTTAAAGTATCCCCCTAATCCTGCATCCTGGAATGCGTGACCAGCAGTTTAATGAGCTACTAAAGTAGTACAAAATAGTGTAATAATGCCTTCAACGGATTTCGCTTTTTTCTTTCTTGACTGGATTGCTGGTTTTGTATTTACTGGGCGGTTTAAGGTGTTTAAAAGTGCTGGTGAGTTTTAAGATGTTTAATAATAATAATAATAATAGTAATAATAGTGTATTTAGGGTAATAAGCAATGCCCTTGATGACCCTATTGAAAACGGTACATGCAATATAAATGTTAAATGCACATCTTACTAAAACGTTTGTCAGTAACCTATTTGTTTCAGTGCAACGTAAGTACGCGATCGGTTGGTGTCGACAAGATGAGTGGTTGAATGCTCGGTAACAATGAATTAAGGCAGCTAGGTAACACTCGTCATAGGCAGCAGCTCAGTCCTGAGAGTTTTCACATAGACTAGTCAACTTAGAAGTCCTCGAACACGCGCGTCCCAAAAAACTGACAGATCACAGATGCCTGGCGTTCTTGTTGTTTGTAAAATTGGTCGCATATTCAACAACTGTTGAGACAGTAAGTCGGGGATTTCGGTAAATCACATTACCCATTGAATTACGTATTTTGCACTGTTAACTATTCGAGTTATCCGAAAGGGCGAACGTTTATAGTAAAACTTCGATCTAGAAGTAGCCAGGTTGAGGGCAACAAAAGTGAAAGACGACTTTTTGTAAAATCATATCTAGCTTTCTTGTAAAATCTGATAAGAGGGGTCTTCTGCCCAATGAATTGCTGCACACTTCTTTACACCATCAATTCACAACACATGGCTAAATGTGCGAGAAGTCGATCGGGTCTCACACCCGTCTAGCCAGGCGGGCGTATGTTAATGCACCCTATCTACCAGGCGTCTCGTTGTAAGGCCAACAACAAGACGCCTGGTAAGTAGGGTGCGTGAACATATTCCCGCCTGGCTAAACAGGGGCGCGAACCGATCGACTTTCCGCATATTCAGTTGCTATGAACCGCCGAGTTGATGCCAAAGAAGCATTTCAGATTGTCTACCGGACACCAGCAAGCTTCTCTAAAGGCCTAAGCCAACGGATATTAGCAACGGCCGAGGCAGTGGCTATACAGCTAGCGAATCCATGTTATACTGTCAGAAAACGCTGACACAAGCGCTCTCTCTACTGTGGCCAACGCCAACCTCAAGTGATGACGATATGCCGCCTCAAATCCCCAATTACAGCAATGGGTACACCGTGTACTCAATCCAAGAACATCACTCAAAGACCCTCTTACCTTCCTCCCCTAGCCCTGAAGATCAAACTCGTCGACCTCGTCATGTGGGCTGCGTGGGGAAGATGAGTGTTAGTGACTTAGTGGCCCTTACGACACCTATAAACACTGTTACTTGTGTATATTTTCATTCCTCCATGTAACTGTATTGGCCTGACAAAGAATTGCCGAAAAGACGTGTTTGCCAACTTGACTTCTTAATGTGGTTAATGCTAGGATAAGCTGTCCAGTTAAATAATTAACTTAGTACAGGGGCACTAGGGAACCTAGGTCAATGGCCAGATAAAGTTAAATCACTCCCTCTTCACTGATTTGTTCATGCATGGGTGCCTACGTATCCAATTTCAAATTCTTTTAGACAGACGACGGAAAATGAATAAGAAATCTCCACTTAAAAATGTCTGACCCTCACTGCTACACCACATAAACAAAGCTGGACCTGTTTATTTGGAGAAAGAAAACGGGCCCAATGAGAGAACAGTCATCAACCAGGTTGATCACAACAAAAGTCAAGGGTTAATTAAGATCGAAAATAAGAACAAATACGTGTACCAAGGATCATAACTGCAAACTGACTGGACTAACAGTGAAGATGGTAAACAAACCTCAAGTCACCAGAGGCATCTTCGGTTGGAGCATGAAGTTCCACCTCCAGCTTACTTAATTCCTTTTCCAGATTTGGACTGCAGCCGATGAGGAGCTCGTTGATAATGCGAGTTATCCACTGGACAAGCAGTGTCTTCAAATGCGTCATTTGAGGGATGGCCACAATAAAACCCGATTGCTTGGTGGTGGAAGTGTAGGCACCGAGGACAAGATGAACAAACACCCTGCATACCCACTCTTTACCCGTTGGCTTGTCTTCATCTCGTGACTTTCCAAAGGTCATTCCTGATGCGTGTGCCTCCTTGGCAGCAGGCTTCCAACCCGGTCTGGCCATGACCGTCGCCAGGGCGGACATGAGGGTGGTCTTCCCTGACCCAGGGGATCCAATGAGACATAGAATACCGCCGTCATGTCCTAAAAAGTAACAGAAATACTTTTGATTAACAGAAGACGACCATATCTTTTACCCGCACTGATAAAAAAGGACTACAGAGTGAAAGCGTCAATTAATGCAGATGAACTTAAGCACAGCTATTCATTTTCAAAGCGACACGCAGAGGAGTGGGCTAAAAAATTTATTCGTGTGTCCATTCCAATGAAATGGATTGGCGAGGTTTGATGCTGCAGCCCCACCTGATTTATACTATAAGGTTAGATTTCTATGAAAGTTTTGGCAGATGCGAATAAGCTGCCTTTGCAAATATCACGTCTTTGCACCTTCCTCACCACTATAATCCATCGAGTGACTATGCCACGAGGGTAGGATTGCGTACCAATCAGCCTCGGTTACTTCAGTTATCAGTTCCCACGCACTTCCCTGCGCATGCCTCGAGCTCTGCTTGCGCCCACTTCATTATCTTAATCCATTGAGCGGCTACGTAGGATTGCTAATGGAACTGTTTGGATGGATTGGAACTCCGTCGGCTCCACTACAAGGGTCCCGTACTGCGAATTATCACGCGGTTGCCTCCGTGGCCTTCCCGTGGTGATTGCACCCTCCTTATCCCACTAATACAGCGAATGGCTGTCTCGCTGCAGAATGTGTACACGCCATACTCACGCGCTCCCCTGCGCGTGCTTCGAGCTCTCCTTAGCGGTGAAAACATTCACATCCGAACTTAGGAAGAAATCAGTCCAATCGTAGGAATCAATGTATGTTAATTAGTAGACCGAACGGACTGATCGGTAGTCGAAGAAAAAGCTATATCCTGGGGACTAAATTTCATCAGCTTCGAGTTCTAACGTAGAAACATCTATGTCGTGGTCTGCTGCCCCGAGTTGGCCTAAAGATGACACTGACAAGGTCATACAACCCCTACAGAAAATTAGGCCCAACTATGCTTATCCTCGGATGGGAAAATCGACAGTCTTATTCCGCACGGCAAACATCCACAGCCTCAAGTAAGTTTTCAAACCTTCTGGGACCAGAAGGCAGAGACCAGTGGACTCCAGGAAGATTGAAATCATCCGCAACCAACTGATACTTAAACCTTTATTCGGCCGCAACATGAAGTGCCTGTGAGAGACAAAGATCCAAAGCCTCACTGGCGTTGGTTGTGCGATGGATACAGCCAACGAGTAAAGATAAGTTATTTTTTAGGCAACTTGGAGCCAGCAGCTGACTTCTACCGCGGAGAAACGCAGAAGGTTCAGCAGCAGAGATGCAAGTGTTTGTTTAACATAGATGAGGAGACGGAAAAAAATAAACCCTACATTTAAGCGAGAAAAAATGAGGAAAATGGTAATGCGGGAGATTTGTAAGAAAGAGATCCCAAAACAGGACTCAGCTTCGCAACTGTCCTTAAAGAATATTGTGCGTTGCATTTAGCGGAACCCTCAAAAAAACGTTATTCCCTGTTAAATGGAACCCACCAATATTTTCCATCCGCTTGCGTTTCTGTCCGACAGACAAATTCCAGCTATCAGGCGTCTTAGTGGCTGCCGCCTCTGCAGCCATCAGTCGAGCCCGACGCACTTGACCGCCTCGGAGAGGCAAGTCAGTAAAAAGGGACTTAACCACTTCACGAAGGTGTCGCGGACAGGCAGATGCAGCGATGGATTCCAGGTAGGCAGCAGACACAGAGGCCGAAGTCGGGCTGGTAAAATCATCCTCCTATTAGGAGATAGAAATTGAACAGAAAGTCTGAGAATCGTGTCCACAGTTTATGCGTCGTGAACATCCACAACGCGGCGGTCTGTATTAACGTTGCAGGGGAGCTCAATTTCTCTGTTAGCCCCTATACCTTTACATCTCTCTGTCAAGCCCGACTATAAACAACCTGTATTGCATAAACGTGACATATTGAAAAGATACTAGGTGAGCTGTGTTGCCGTATTGGGTGACGTTAATGAAGTGGATGGGCATTTTTCTTCTCAATGTGTCACTCGGGCAAGAAACCCAACGGAATACGCAGCACTGCTAAAGAGTTTTAGTAAGCTTCGTAACAATGGCAGCGGCATCGGTTCAAAATGTGGCAGATAAGTCAGGATATAAAGAGAATGCCAATTTTGTGGTACAGGTTACCGAACCGAGGGTACAACTTCAGTGGCGGTTCCAGACGCTGTCTTTATGTCTAGTTGGATTTTTGAGAGGAGCAGACTAGTAACCCTGGAAAAGCTCAAACATTGAAGTGATTAATTCTGCCACCCGAAAAACTGCTCGAATTCAACGAATGAAAGAATGTCGAGGAAAAAAAACCGCAGGTAATGCCACCAAATGGAGCAGGTGCCAGATTGCAACCAGACACAGTAAGTAAAGATATTCCAGTGCAAGACAGCATAACTGACCAAGCTTTCTCCAAATTATCTGAGGCACCACTTCTCCTCAGTTTCTGTGACTAAAGAACATGGCAATGATCAAGGCGGCTCCTTTTTTCAAGATTATTGCAGTTACATGATACTGGTGTGCAGCAGTCTAGGCGGAATGTAGAACAAACACGGGCATTTTCTCTATGCCTTGGACATCCAGATATACGACCTACACAGGTGGTCTCTGGTGACGGAAAATAAAGAAAAAATGAGCATCCCACTGCCTCTGTCTTTGTCGGTCAAAAATCTGAACAAATGTTTACCACATATCCCTTATTTTTTAATCTCTAGCCAAGTGCTTACGTACTGACGGTCGTCACCTCAACAGCCATCTCTTATGCTCACTTGAGGCCGATGTGTACACACAGCAGTGATTATGAAAGTGAAGCACAGACGGTTGATGAATGGGAGACGAAGAAACTCTAAACGCAATGCCACTGCATCACGCAGGACTGATCATCCGAGGGAATTCAAAGACAATAAATTTGTGCGTCGACAACGATCGCGAAATCACCGATTCGTATCCGCCATACTCCCGGGGGCAGCAAGTGCGCATAAGCAAGCTGAATTCGTGCGGCTGTTTTCCCAGATAGAACTTGCATTTTGTTACCCCAGATTGTGCAACCTAGAAAACGAGTTGCGCAACAATGAAGTCACCCACCGAAACCTTTTCAGGACTGTTGTGTGCAGACACCCGTAAACAGGCGCACGCCCGCTCAAACTGGCAAGGCCTACGGAGTATCTGGCGCAACTTGTGCATGCATGAACGCGTGCAAATCTAAGCATGCAAGCACAGACTCGCGTACAGGGAGCAGAGGAGACGTCAGAATGCCAACAAACAATCCCTGGTTCTTTAGAAGCAGGAGTCAGCAAAGATGAATAGCAGTCTAGACGGCAAAGGCACGGTCCGTGACTGTGTTGCAGGATTTGTCATTGCGCTTCGCATTAGAGAATTTACCAGGTAAGTATGCGTTCGCATGAACAATGGGGGACAGGAATTACTACTTATATCGGCCGACGCAACACACCAAATCCGGACAGGGTCGCATCAGGATGGGAGACATCAAAAAGTCACTAACCGACTCCACGTCATTAAGCCAATTTCAATTGAAGTTGAAAAGTAACTTTTGTGGAAGCGGCGAGGTGTTAAGTACGAATATTTACCGCATCTCGTAGCGTACGGGTCGTTGTACTCTGGAAAAACGAAATCGCACGATTTGGGGCCAGATACAACGGCAAAACTGAGGAAGCTGACAAGAGCAGAAGAGTAATATTTAAGAAAAACGTACACTTCGATGGCTTTTACGACTTCCCATGGTCTCGACAATTTCCGAATACAAAGAGCTGAAAATAGCCTCTCCGAGATCGGCCAAATCGCCCATCATTGGGTAGTGAGAAACCACACCGGCGTAGGCAGCCTTGTAACTGTGAGGAAAAAGAAGGCAACGTCAGTATGAAATTGGCTAAGCTTAATAAATAACTTCAATTGCGGAAGAGTACTCAACAAGCCTGAATGCAGGCGAACACTGTTCGTGACACGAAAAGGACCAACTTACTTATTGAGATGAACAAGACCCTTTGACTTCAATTTCGCCTTAAAAGCATTAAGGCGAGAGGTCTTCACAGCAGAAGACTCCACAAAGTTCGATCTTTGAATCGCTGGCAACGCCCTGAAGAAACAGAAAATTGTCTAAGTGTTTCGCTTACATAAGATTCAGGGGAAAGTCGGTAGCTACTTTTGAAGACTCTTTCTCTTTCTTTCTCCACGCAGGCGTACTCGGACAAACCTATTCGACTACACACTAACTCACAGCTGCTATGATATTCGCAGTGGAAAATCGCTATTGACAAAGATACGGGACGTTGAAATGGTCACCGTCAGTCGACCACATCCCGAACCATTCGAGGGCTGAATAGGAGATCAGCTGTTTATGCAGCCAGTTGCTCCTGAAGTTAGGCAATGGTTCCAAATTCTGTCGGTTGCGATCGCACGTATTTAAAATCAGATGAGAGTGGTGTTCACCAACCCGTTCAGGTTATAGGATGCAATGGAGACATTCCGTTTTTCCCTTGTGCTGTATACCTACGGTCCTTAGGGGTGTGGCCCAATAACGAACAATCTACTGGGTTGTCCAAAATGAAGCAACGAGTTTTGGAGTTTACGACTAAAACTTGGAGTTTTTGCAAACAAGATTGTATGTAGTGGAAATGCGTTTCCTGAGTATGAATGGTACTCTCTTAAAGGACTTTCAGCAGAAGGTCGTTGCTCTAAGATCAATAATGTGTTCGAATCAAAAAATGTAGTTTTTCGAGCTCGGGATAGGAAATTACGGGCGAAACAGAAGACCGTAATCCGTTACAAAAAGATCGGGTGCGTATGATGGACGTTGAAAGACCAAAGCTACCCACGATGATATGAGATACGGGGTGGAACACTGGGGTATAGTAGGATCATTGGGTAGCTTTATCAAGCTTTACTGGTTGGTGGATGCTTCTGTGGGACAATTTCAATCTGTTGAAAATATTTTAAAAATCGCGAGAAAAAGGACATGGTAAGGAATTATTCGTACACAACCATACAGATTCTTTTGGTTTAGTGGTCTTTGCTCATATTATTGTGCTTCACTTGGATCCAGTCATTAACCAGATCGTTCATACTTGCCGTATAGGACCCATTTCTTCCGCAAGTTATGACTGGCTATAGGAACCGCTTTCTTCTATTCATACCAACTGGAAATAAACCCACCTACATGTGTCGCAATTGCCGGATGTCTCTCGACAGTTCGACCATCGATTTCGATGATGTCCACCGTGTGCCCCACAGACTGCATTGCGGGAGCAGGGACGGTGGCTTACGCAGGGGTTTATAGTGCCAGTAGACTTGCGCAGCATCCACCTACACTCTCTCCTCTTCCCCCGCCTGGGCCCGGTGTCAAGACCAAGTTAAGAAGACCGGAGACGGGGGAGGCCGCAGGTGGATGGCTCGGACGGATCCTCGCCTTGGCGCTCCACTCCGCACCCCCTGGTCCACACACAAATGACCAGGATTTTGACCACAAAACAATGGGGTGATGGCAGTGGTCCAGTTGTGCGACGAATGCCGACAACGGGGTCTGCCAGCGCACCCCGCAAATGTTGGCATTTGTTATTGCGCACAGATAACGCCTGCCAGAGTCCGATGTGGCCCCCGTGTTGGTCCAGCGCATCTAACACGTGGCCCGTTTTGAGGCCGGATGTCTATCAAACAGCGAAACACTCACTTCGTCTGAGTTGCAATGCTTTACGCTTGTATGTCCTCACAGCTGCATAGAAGCAATTGTCCCAGAAAATGGTTCATAAGCTGCTGAGCGTAAGTCAAGAAGAACTGAAGTGACAGTAATGTTTACCAAAGTTTACGCCTTGTAGCGATGCTATCCTGACTCTTTGGAGAGACGGTGTATGAGTTTCTCTGTCCAGTACAGTGGCCGGACTCGAGTCCCCGTCCTCTCAGTTTTACCCTTACAATGCTCAAACAAAAACTAAAACTATCAATATGCTTTTCATTCAGATTTTACGATTACAGATGGCGGGGGAGGGGGTTCATGGAGTAGATAGAACGAAAAAACTTCCACTAGTCGAAAAGAGCGTAATGGCGTTTTGGTGGGTTAGGGCAGAAATATCCTAATAAAACTAATAGATAATTTTCTATTTAGAATGCTTTCCTGTTTACACCTGTGAGCGGACAAGTGGAAATTAGACCAGCGGCGCGTTCCTTGTAGACATACGTTAAAAAACGACTTTGTTGCATAAAGATAGGTCAAACGTACTCCAGACATTTGGGATCGCGAAGGCAGCAGATCAAACGCCTTTCGTTTTGGTAGTTAAGATCGAGGAAGAGGGAGGCCTCCAACTCCGTGATAGACATGTCGTGTTTGTAAACTCTGAGGACTCGTTTGCGCAGTTTCTCTGGAAGGGCGTGAACCAGCTCCTCCGGCGGCACCCAACCATATCTGTAGAGGAAAAGAAGCTTCTGTCTAAGTTATCATAGATTATTGTTAAGTCGAAGCACTGTTTTCCCCGAATGAATTTGAACAAGGCAAAAGCGATGAAATATGCAGAATTCAATGACGTCATAAAATTCCATGATCTCTTATTCTACTGCACACGGTCATTGCCACTTATGAGACAAGGTAAACTGTTCAATCGGAGAGCGACATAGAGGAATAAAATGGGATAGGTAAGACGGAACATGGACTATTGATCGTATATACGGGGGCGGACGGCGAGGTGGAAGGAGGGAATTTATCTAGGGAAGGGAGATCGGATTACAGTGAAAACAGGGCGTGATTAAAGCAGCAACGCGCGGAACAGCAGGCAGTCATGCGGGGGGGGGGAGAAGTGAGAAGACGGGTGTGGGGATGGGGTTGCGTCCATGATCGATCCTTACCATGGTATTTACATCAAAAACAGTGTACACCTCAACGAGATTGAATTAAAAGTAGACTGAACTAAGAAAACGAATTTTCTAGATATTAGTGATATAACGGCCAAATTGTATATAAGTATCGGAGATCAGCTGTTGCAACCTAAGTAAACTTCCTAGGCTGCATCTTAAGGAGGTCTTCCTTTATGCAACAACCAAATGAAATATGTGCTTGTAGGGCTGGGACTTCAGGCCTATCGCCGTCAGCATGGCGAAACAAAGAATGTACATAGCAAAGGCCATGCAAAGGGGTAGCGGAATTTCGAAAATAGTAAATGGCCTGCGAAAGACAATGTGATGAGCAAAACTTGGGTTGGAAAAACAGGCTAATGAGATGAGGTACCCTCCGCCAGAGCGCGCACAGTCAAAGTCGCTCTAGCGGTGATCCATACCTCTCGCCCAACAAAAGAATCAGGTAGTCTGAAGTGGCCACGTGTTCAAGGCAAGCGCGTAAAGCATCAGGAGTTCGCGTGGCAGATTCAGGAACACCCCATCGTAGATCAATCTCATTCAGGTGGACAGGAAAGTCGAGTTTTGAGAGCTGCTTCCTGAGGGCTGGAAAGACGAGGCCCGAGATGAGGTCTCGCTCACCGCTCATATCTCGGAAGGTGGAGGACACAAAGA